GAAGACAGCCAGTTCCACTGCGGGCCTGACAGAAGCCCTCCGGGGGCCTGATCTGGCCCCCGGGTTGCATGTTTGACACCCCTGGGCTACAGTGTTGACGTTGGACTGTGGGAGTCCTGGATCAAAATGCCACTCAGATGTGCAGCTTGCCGAATGACCTTGGGCCTGATGTTGTTTTTGTGCCACGCTCCGTGGAGCGAGGGCAGGATAAGAATCAGAGAAGTTGCAGGAATCCAGCGGGGCGAGACACTGAGCCCCAGTCCGCCTCCCCACACCTAGGGGTCTTGCAGCAAGATCAGCGCTGGGCCGACTCATTTGCCACCAGAGTGGCTCTGGGGCTCAAATCCTATCTTCTGGGTTTTTTAATTTACTTCCTTTCATACCCCGCCTTTCTCTCCAATGGGGACGGCAAAGTGGCCGACTCCATTCTCCTCTCCTGTGTTTTATCCTCTCAACAACCCTGCAAGGTGGGTTAGGCTGAGTGTCTGTGACTGGCCCAGGGTCACCCAGCGAGCTTCCATGGCACGGTGCGGATTCGAACCTGGGTCTTCCGGATCCTAGTCCAATACACCAACCACTACATCATGTTGGCTCCATCGGAGTTCAGACTGCCAGCTTCCCTTTCCAAATAATCGGACTCTGAACATGCCTAGAGTGCCCTTCGCCTCAGAGAAATAACATTTGCTGTCCACAAATAAAAAAAGGATAGAGAGGCAAATTGTTTCTAAGCGTACTCAGGAAGCCTTTTCCTCGCCTGCGGGTTTAAACAAACAGACCCAGGGACACACTGACTCTGAGCTTGTGCGAAGTGCCTCCACCTCACCCCCCAGGAAGCAGCTTTAAAAAAAAAATAGGCATTAGGGCAGAGCAGCAAGTTGGCAAAACCCTTGTCCTCTAATATTTGGCATGTGAAGGAGGAGAACTGTGTTTGCCCACCTGTGAAAGACATGCACTCTGCATATGCACAGAAACACTTAACAATCATGTCCTATGTCCTAGGACTTGGCCTTTGCACAAGCCGTGGAGGAAATGAGGTGCTTGAGAAGGAAGAAATATTATCATAGGGGGTGGTTCTGTTCAGGGGTCATTTCCTGCAGGAGCACACAGGAGCGGAGCTCCGGCAGTAAAGAGCCCAGGGGGTGGGCACATGCAACAAGCCCCGCCCTCTGCTCCCAGCAGCCCTCAGTCAGAGCAAGAAGCAGCCAGGTAAGTTGCAGAGCCCCACGGCCCAAAACAGTCCAGTGGCACCTTTAAGACCAAGTTTCCCCCAATAGCTAGCAATCCAAAACAGCCCAGTGGAGCCTGAGTACCCCCCCCAATAGCTAGCAATCCAAAACAGCCCAGTGGAGCCTGAGTGGTGGGTCAGGGGGTGTGGCATATGCAAATAAGTTATGCTAATGAGCTCCTGCACCTCTTTTTCTACGAAATGACCCCTGGTTCTGTTCAGGAGGGAAAGAAGAAGGGATGAAACCTAGGCAGCCAAATACCACCAGAGAAGGAGGCAAAGGGAAGCAGTATCAGTGCACAAGCAGGAATATATCAAGTAGCCCTCAGAGCTGCTCAGATGGTGGGCTCTCTCATCCTTTTTGCCCAGGTTTGTCAGCAGGGATCCCTCCCTTTTGCCTGATGTCAAGCGCACGACATCGTTTCTGCACATGGCACAACATCGGCCACAAAAGATAGGCTGCGGTCCCAAAAGTCCTGACAGTTTACTTTCCCTCCTTCTCACAAAAGGCTACAACTCGAGGGCATCCAATGCAGCTGATGGGCGGTAGGTTCGGGATGGACAAAAGGAAACACCTCTTTACGCAGTGAGTGATTCAAATGTGGGATTCCCTGCCAGAGGATGGACTGATGGCGACAGGCATGGGCAGCTTTAAAAGGGGATTAGACGGATTCATGGAGGAGAGGTCCAGCCAGGAGGTCTATCAGTGGCTACTAGACACGGTGACTTCATGGAACCTCCAAGCTCAGAGGCAGTCAACCTCTGAATCTCAGTGCCAGGAGTCAACATTAGGGGAAGGCCTCAGCTCCTGTTCCCTGAAGTTGGGCCTCCAGGGGAACTGGGTGGCTACTGTGTGAGACATGATACTGGACAAGACAGACCACTGGTCTCATCTAGCAGGGCCTTTATGTTCATACTTTTAATTCATGTGTGTGGGGGGGGGGCAGGAAGGAGAAGGGAGAGATCCAGCCAGCCCCCGTGGAAGGAACATAAGCAGTGTTCCCTCTAAGCTGAGTTAGTGTGAGCTAGCTCAAAGTGTTTTAGCCTCCGGCTCACACATTTTGGTCTCCGCTTAGGAAAGGTGGCTCCAAAGCAAACTCATTTATGCAGTAGAAGAAGAAGAAAAGAAGAGATTGGATTTATACCCTGCCCTTCACTACCCAAAGGTGTCTCAGAGCGGCTTAAATATGTCTTTCCCTTCCCCTCCCCACAACAGACACCCTGTGAGATCGGGGGGGCTGAGAGAGCTCTGAGAGAAGAAGAAGAAGAGATTGGATTTATACCCTGCCCTTCACTACCCAAAGGTGTCTCAGAGCGGCTTACAAACTCCTTTCCCTCCCCCTCCCCACAACAGACACCCAGTGAGGTAGGCGAGGCTGAGAGAGCTCTGACAGAAACCGTTCTTTTTCAAGGACAGCTCTTGTCAGAAGTAGGGCTTGCCCAAGGTCATCCAGCCAGGTGCAAGTGGAGGAGTGGGGAATCAAACCCGGTTCTCCCAGATTAGAGTCCGTGCACTTAACCACTACACCAAACTGGCTCTCAGTACTGGCAAACAGTACTGGCAAACTGGCAAACAGTACTGGCAAACGGCTCGCTCACAGCATTTAATGGCCAGTAGCTCACAAAGTAAGAATTTTTGCTCACAACACGCCACAGCTTAGAGGGAGCGCTGAACACAAGCACATGCATTTCCATGCACTTGGGACTTTGTTTCACAGAACAATGAGGACTAGGGAGTTAAGCCTGCCTTTTTTTTAAAAAAAAAGGTGGGTTTTGTTGAGGGATTTGAAGGAAGAGGGATCTGGGAGCGAGTTAGGGATCGAGTTACTTCCAGATTGCCCAGATTGCCCAATCCTGTGCACATGATCTCCGACCACAGATTTCTCAGCCGGCCCCGAAACCACTTTCTGCCTGGCAGATCAGGAAGTCCAGAACGCGGCAAAACTTCCTCCGATTCTGTCGGCCAGCCGTGCGCCGAAGGGGGAGAGCCCTGTACCCTGTGGCAGCAGGGGGAAGGGCACCCGGACACCCTCTCTCCCCGGGAGGGAGGGAGGGAGGGAGGAGGAGGCCCGTCTGGGGGCAGGCCCATCGCCTCGGGGAGAGAAAACAGCTCCCTGGGCCCTGCCCTTCCTCTGCTCTGCGAATGAAGTCCAAGGTCCCCATTGGCTGGGCCTAATGTATGCTTATGAGCTCAGCTTCCCCGGAGCTTTAAATGGGACCCAGGCGTCCCGGCACTGGTCTCTGGGCTGGGCAGCGGCCACCCTCCCCTGGCGGTGGTGGCGCACGGGGGCACGGCAGGGTTGGAAGGTCAACAGCTGGACTCGGGGAGATGGACACGCCGGCCAACAGGTGGGTACGGATTAAGTCTGCGCCCAGATAATTCTGTTTTGTCTTGACAAGGGGCTCTCTCCTGGTTCCCTCCCCACCAGCATCCTCTCCTCTCCACGAATCCCTTTTGCCCTCCTTCCCTGACCTGCTTTTCTTCCGTGTTGCCTCTGACTTCAGGCTTTGGCGTGCAGGGACGGCTTCCAGCCAAGGCTCCCTCGAAGCTGTGGAGTCGTGTGAGCAAGAAGTCTACTTTGTGAGCTGCCGGCATTAAAGTCGTGAGCGAGCGATTTGGCTGCTGCGTCAATTAGTTTGCCTCTGGAGCCCCGTCCTTCTTGGGCTAAGGCGAAAAGGTGTGAGCCGGAGGCTAAAAGAGCTGTGAGCTGGCTCACACTGACTCAGTTTAGAGGGAACACTGCTTCCAGCTACAGTTGCCAACTCTGGGCTGGGAAATAGCTGGAGATTTGGGGGTGGAGGCAGGGGAAGGCAGAGATCTCGGCAGGGTATGATGCCCTCCGTCACCACCATTGCCTTCAGGGAGATCAGGTGTGATTTCAGATGAACTCCAGGCCTTACATGGAGGTTGGCAGCCCGACCTCCAGCTCCTTGCTCTACCTCCAGCATCTGGACAGAGGGGGCTTGCTAAAAATGGAAATATTATCACGTTTAGGATGAAAGACAGAAAAGGTACGGACGAGTGGAGACACAGAAGGTGTGAGCGTGAAAAGACAAACCAGGCGATCCTAAGTGTGCAGGAACAGAAGCCAAGCGTATATGCGGCAAAGTGTGCGGCACACTGGTGCGCGTGGGGAAAGAAAGTGAACATGAATCCACAGGATTCAAGCGATCTGGGAGGGCTTTGAATCAGAAGCTGCCCAAACACTTCCGTTTTAGTCTTTTTTGTTGGATAATCAGAGACATTCCTGTCAACGCTCCCTCTAAGCTGTGGAGTCTCGTGAGCGAAAATTTTGCTTTGTGAGCTCCTGGCTGTGAGCGAGCCATTTGGCTACTGCATACATTATTTTGCTCTGGAGTCCGCCTTCCGGAGCTGGGACAAAAAATGTGTGAGCCAGAGGCTAAAAAACTGTGAGCTGGCTCACACTAACTCAGCTTAGGGGGAACACTGATTCCTGTCGATAACAAGAACATAAAACTGCACTGGTGCATAACGAGGGGGAGGGTAAGCGGCATACTATAGCCCGATCTTGTGAGATCTCTGAAGCTAAGCAGGGTCGGTACTTGGACGGGAGACCGCCAAGGAAGACTCTGCAGGGGGAGGCGATGGCCAACCTCCTCTGCCTCTCACTTGCCTTGGAAAGCCCCTTGCTGGGGTCAGCAACTGACATATAATGGGGGTGGCTGGCCAGGAACGGGGTGGGGGGTTAACTGCCGGACCACCTGTTTTAAAGCTGGCCAGGACTGAAAGCATGGGAGGGGGTCACAACACTCAGCTCCCCCAAAGGTTTGCAAAAGGGGGCCTGTGACGCCCACAGCCCTACGATCCACCCAGCAGTGACAGCAGAAACAAACGTCGGGGTGGAGGCGGGGTGGGGTGGGGTGGAAAGGGAAAACGCATTTTCAAACTGGGACATGCAATCGCTTTGCAATGCAAACTCGACTGCCGGGACAAAGCGTCAGGAAACAACTGTTCGGTGCCCGCTAGCGTTTCAGACCCATTAAATGTGGAGTGGAAAGGTGTGATTGAGTGCGGCGCGCAGCCTCTATGAGGAAGAGTAGATCATTTTTGTGGCAATTGCGAGGTGCACGGTGGACCTGTGCAGGGCTGGTTTGCCTCAGTCGATACGTGTGCAGGGCTGAGGCAGGCTATCAGGGTGTACAAACTGTGAGCTCCCCTGCCCCCGAGCTCCTGCATTTGAATTTCTCTATAGCCCGCTTTCCTCCCAAGAGTTGGGACTCAAAGCTCAGAACACCGTCCTCCCCTCCTCCATTCTCCCACAACAACCCCGTGAGGTAGGCCAGGCCGGGAGCTCATGTTGGGCCCAGCAAGCTTCCACGGTGGAAGAGGGGATTCGAGCCCAGGTTGCACCAGGGTCCCTGCCTGCCACTCTTTACTCTTTCCACTACACCACACTGGCTCTCCTGGGTCCACATGGGCTCACCTTCAGTGTCAGCCCCAAATATGGAGCGTGCTGACCCAGCTCTGGCGCTTCCCCCCCACCCACACCATGGGTACTGGAACCTCTTGCGCCAGTTGCCATGCTCTGTACACCACTGAGCACGCACAGAGATGCGCAGAGCTTCACAGGGTGACATGACGGCTGGAACTGGGGCAGGAGCCGCCTCTGCAAATCCCAGAGTTGCCACCAGGGTTCCCTCTAAGCTGAGTGAGTGTGAGCTAGCTCACTGCTTTTTTTAGCCTCCGACTCACAGTTTTGTATCTTCGCTCGGGAAGGAGAGCTCCAGAGCAAACACATTGATGCAATACATAAATAAATAAATGGCCAAATCGCTCGTTCACAACTTTCACGCCGGTAGCTCACAAAGTAGGATCTTGGTTCACAAGACTCCACAGCTTAGAGGGAGCCCTGGTTACCACATACGTACACGAACACACCTGAAGCTGCCTTAGACACACATGAAGATAGGAAGGGATGAGCCAGGGCTTGGCTCTCGTGTAAGGGTGATGCGGATCGTCACTTTGGGGCCAGGACGGAATTTTCCTCCAGGCCAGATTGGCCCAGGGGTCCTGGACAGTGTTCCCTCTAAGCTGAGTTAGTGTGAGCCGGCTCACCGTTTTTAAGCCTCCGGCTCACACATTTTTGTCTTCGCTCGGGAAGGAGGGCTCCAGAGCAAACTTAGTGATGCAGTCTCCAAATTGCTTGCTCGCAACTTTAATGCCGGTAACTCACAAAGTAGAATTTTTACTCACAAGACTCCACAGCTTAGAGGAAGCATTGATCCTGGAGGTTTTTTGTCTTCCTTCGGGCACAGAGCAGGAGTCACTGGGCGTGCATAGGGGGTGGTTGTGAATTCCCTGCATTATGCAGTGGGTTGGACTAGATGGCCCTTGAGGTTCCTTCCAGCTCTGTTTCTATGTAGACTGAATCAGACCCTCGGTCCATCAAGGTCGGTCTCATCCAGTGTTCTCTCTAAGCTGAACGAGTGTGAGCTAGCTCACCGTTTTTCAGCCTCCGGCTCACACAGTTTTGCCTCCGCTCAGGAAGGAGGGCTCCAGAACAAAGTAAGTGATGCAGCGGCCCAATCGCTCGCTCACAACTTCAATGCCAGGAGCTCACAAAGTAGAATTTTTTGCTCACAAGACTCCACAGCTTAGAGGGAGCATTGTCTACTCAGACTGGCAGCAGCTCTCCAGGGTCTCAGGCTGAGGTCTCTCCCATCACCTGCTACCTGGTCCTTTCCACTGGAGATGTCGAGGACTGGACCTGGGACATTCCCCATGCCGAGCAGACGCTCTACGACTGAGCCACGGGCCAGGGAATGGGGGAGATTCAGAGATTCTGGAAGAACGTGAGCTTTGCTTGACTGTTTGGTATAGTGGTTAGGAGCGCAGACTCTAATCTGGGAGAACCAGGTTTGATTCCCCCACTCCTCCACATGCAGCCAGCTGGGTGACCTGGGGCCAGTCACAAGTTCTTTCAGAGCTGTTCTCTCAGGAGCAGTCCTCGAGAGAGCTCTCTCAGCCCCACCTACCTCGCAGGGTGTCTGTTGTGGGGAGGGGGAGGGAAAGGAGGTTGCAAGCCGCTCTGAGACTCCGAGTGAAGGGCGGGATATAAATCCAATCTCCTCCTCCTCTTCTTCATCAAGGGCTAATCTGTGACCGTGGCCTCCACCCCAGCCAGAGCTCCCCTGCCCACCTATCTGCGGCGCCCCTCTCACCTTCCTCTTTTCTCCGCTCCAGGATGAACGCCCTGCCGCCCAGCCCCCTGGCTCTGGAGTATCTCGACGAGTTTGACTTGCTGAAGTTCGAGGTGAAGCAGGAGGCCGCCAGGTTGGGCGGAAGCGCCTCGCTGGACTCCACCCCCTGTAGCTCCGTGCCCCCCTCGCCCACCTTCGACAAGACGGGGGACCCCAAGTCCACCCTGGAAGAGCTGTACTGGATGGCCACCCTCCACCAGACCTTGGCGGCGGCGGCGGCAGGGGGCAGCCCCGAAAGCCAGCTGGTGCCGGCCTTTGATGAAGCGATGGAGGCCCTCTTGGGGGCGCCCCTGGCGGACGGCGGCCTCCGTGGGGTTGCCACCCCCCAGCTGCAAGGCTTTCTGGGAACCGCCGAGGGTCTTGCTGGAGAACAGCAGCAGGTGAGATAAAGAGGGAAGATGGCACAGCTACAAGCACAGAAGATGCCGGGAAGAGAAGGGGGGCGCACACCTCGTTGAGGGGGCGAGAGAATAGCGAGAGGGGGCAGAATAGCTTCCACTTAGCCCTGTTTTCAGTTCCAGTTAAGCCGTGTGCGACTGAAGCCCACGCCCTAACAAAGAAGAGAGCCTCTGAGCGTGTGCAAAGAGCTTCCCCCCCCCATGTGACCGAACGGCCACAACCGGCCCTCCCACATCCGAAGAGCAGGAAGACAGACTTTCAGGTTGGAGGCTGCCAAAGCAACAGTTGCCCAAATTTCACTCTGGGAATGACCCGTCTGAAGCGCATAAGCGTGCTTCTGAGCATGCACACAGTGACGTGCAGTCACTACCAGTCCACGCTCGCACGTCTGCCATTGAAGAGTTGGGCTCCCAGGTCAGACGGTCGAGTGAGCACTTTCCCTCCTCCTTTTTCTAGATTAATCGTTGGCCTTCCTTCCTTGCTAGGCCTAGAAACTCAAGTCACGCCTGTATCATCTAAAAGAGGGGGAAGGCAGAAGAGATAGAGGCCTAGAGCATCCCCCCCCCCCCCGCAGGTCAGACAGGTTCCTTTCAAAGGGCCTTAAACATGGTGCATCGCACCATCCCCTTAATGGCGCCTAATATTCACAACCAGAGCAGCTGCCTCACATTGCCTCGGGGTCGGGCTGCCTCTCCCTGCCATCAAAACAGCTGCCTCACATTGCCTCGGGGTCGGGCTGCCTCTGGCTGAGACTTCAAGCCACAAAGCCGCTTAGAATAGCACGCCCCTGAGCCAATCTACTTCCTTTGACCACTCATGCTTCATACTTTTAACCCATGCGGGGGGGGGGGGCGGGAGGGGGAGGGGGGGG